CATCACCTGAATACCATCACATGTAACGAGGCTTGGATAATCCTTCGAGTAAGGGACTCATCCCTACAACGGTGAGGACCCAAACGAGGGTTGCGCAATAGGGTCAAATCCAATCCTCTAAGATTATTCAACCCTGATTACATGTGACTTAACGTATTCACCTAACAGCTAACTCCCATCACTCAAAATCCCACAAAGTACAAAGCAAGCAGCATTCAGACAAGAAGGAAACTAACTCAAGCAAATATATTCTCATAACCAAGAATCTATACTAGCATATAATGTTGAACTCATACTATCAGGCATAACCTAAACAGGCTATCATATTGTTGTCTACTCAACAATAGCATGCAATTCTCATAAGGCTGAAATACATAAAGCAGGCACATAAGGCATCCTCCTAGATCCTTAGTCCTATACTAGCATGTTGTTCTACTGAAACTGAAACTGAAACTAGAACTAAAACTGAAACTGAAACTGATAATCATAAACTTGTATGGGTAATTTGGGAGTACTTACTTAAGCTCGGCTGATTGCATGAACCACAACCTTTTTCTCTTTTCAAGTTATTTTCTTTCTAAATATTGTTTTCGCTTTTTCTAAAAATCTTTTCATTTTTCAAACTCCTTTCTACCAAAATTCTTTTTGAAAATGTTTTTCTTTTGAAAACCTTTTTACCGTTTCCATAGTTTGAGTCCAGACACACTCTCAAGTGTGTCCGAATCCCTCAAACCAAGGCTCTGATACCAACTTGTAACAACCCAAAAATCACGACTAAAAAATTTCTTTTAAAACATTACTAAAATCATATTTATAAAAACATATCACTGGTCATAACATAAATTCAGAGTATTAATTCAAAACATATTCTTTTTATCAGAGTGAACAATCCCAGACTAACTGACTATGGTGTGTGCACTGCAATCTCTCCAAGCTCCTCTTTTGAAAACTGAGTACCTGAAACAAAAAACTGAACCCATAAGCACGAAGCTTAGTGAGCTCCCCCAAACTACCGCATAACATACAATAACATATAAGCACATACTGGGCCTTGCTCACTGCATCGGACCGAGGTCCAGACTAATTGGGGCCTTGCCCCCAACATCAGACCGAAGTCTAGAACTGACTGGGACCTTGTCCCCTGCATCAGACCGAAGTTCGGACTAACTGGGGCCTTGCCCCTGCATCGGACCGAAGTCCAGAACTGATTGGGACCATGTCCCCTGCATCAGACCGAAGTTCGGACTAACTGCATCGGACCGAAGTCCGGATCTGACTGAACATAGCATAGCATAACATATAAACTAGCAAGAACACATATACTGCATACTGCGTCGGGCCATAGCCCGAAACACATAACACATAAATCCTGTTTTAGCCATGAAGGGATCAAACATACTAACTACTCCATTGGACCGAAGTCCAGAAACTACTGCTAACTAAACGGGCCGGCATTATGGCCTTAGACTCGTTCCTACTAGAAGGAAACTCACCTGCACCGCTGAAGTTCTTGCTGATACCCTTCTGACTGCTATCAGACAATTCTCGAACTATTGCTCCAAAAACTCCCCGATCTACCAATACCAAAAATAACACTGAGTCCCAAACTGCCTTCAACAGTCAAACTAAGTAAACTTTGGTCAAAGTCAAAGTCCTGGTCAAATTCAACCCTCCAGACTGACTTTACACACCGAGTCAGCTCGTTGACTCGTCGAGTCCTTGCACTCTGAAAATTCTTAGAACGCGACTCAACTCGCTGAGTCACCCCAAGACTCGTCGAGTCTAACGATCTCTGAGTCCCATCCTGCTCAAATCACCGAGTCTCCACTCAACTCAGTGATCTGAGTCTTAACTAGAAGGGTTTGGGGTTTCGCGACCTGACTCGCCGAGTCCAAGAATAGACTCGCCGAGTCTAAGGCAATCTTCAACAGACTAACAAAGTTTTTCTTCCAACTCGTTGAGTTCCTGCCCATCTTCATACAACTCGCCGAGTCTACCCGTGTGTCGCCGAGTTACTACGCGACTCAAGTATGATATCTAGCCCAACTCGCCGAGTCCATATGTGGATTCCCATAAATTTGAGTCACAGAGCTTCTCCTTTGCTCTAAAAAATAGATCTGGTTTTCTAAGACTATTTGAACATGTAACGTTGCTAACTTTACGTGTGTCTATGATGCAATGAAGCCAGAACACTACAAATTAACTATTAAGGAGGCTAATTGGGCTAGAACAAGGTAATGTCTACCAAAGATGTCTTTCTTGAGCTACTAGAGCTCAAGGATGTCTAGATCTACAATATGAACCAATAAAACTGCTTCATCATTACGAATTTATGTTTTTTGAGCTCAAAACCATCCAATTGGAGGCAAAGTAGATCTAGAAGTACAATAGCCAAGGTGAGAGATTTATTACCTGAAAATGATGAGGTTGAGAAGCTAATCCTGGACCAACAAGCTTCTCCTTGGACCCCCCCCCCCCCCCCAACTCCATCTTCTTCTTCTTCTTCTTCCTCTTCTTCTTCTTCAAAGCTTGCAAATTACTTCTCCAAGGCTAGATTTTGCTCCAAAAACAGATATGGTGGCTAGGGTTTGGTGTTTTGGGTGAGAGGAGCTATAAAGGAACCCTAAGGAAGAGAATGAGGTGTTTAAATAGGGCACAAAGTCCCGGATTTAGGGTTTTTCTCTTCAAACCAGACTCGCTGAGTCGGTCACTTAATCTAGGACCCGGATCCCGCTCCGACTCGTTGAGTTCCATGGACTCGACGAGTTGACCCCTTTGACTTAGGGTTTTCCTTTCCTTTCTTGGTATTTCTAATTCTGGGTGTTACAACTTTCCTAATCCAGATTCAAAAAGTTCAAATCTTCATTTATCAAAGAAAAAAAATTATATCAAGAATATCAATCATTGGCTTGAAGAAAGGGAAAGCAATTTAAATCACAAAAGTATTCACAAGAGCAAATTCAAAATGCTTATGAGAAGTATTTGAATGAACCAATGAGTGGAAGTAGTTCGTCTCAAGAGTCCACACCAAATATGGGTAAATGGAAAGAAGTTCAAAAGAAGAAAATTGATGTTTATCAGAAAAATGTTGAAAAAAGAGAAAACAAAACTTGAAACTTCATGATTGCATGATTATATCTTAATGCCTAGTGCTGAAGAAGTTGACTTAATTGAAAATTTAAAACCGAAAGTCCGTAATTGGGTTTTTAATTCTTCATTGTACACTATGTTTCAAACTAATGTCCAAGGATGCAAAAGGTCTTGGGGACCTAATTTTTTTTAATTGATAGCAAGTACTAGATGACAAGCAATATGACGAATATTGGTATATTGATAGTGGATGCTTGCGTCACATGAATGGGATGAAAGAGAATTTAAGAGACTTTCATAAATAAAAATATGTTGGAGTTGCCATGTTTGGAAACAATCGTAAGTGTAAAGTCAAATGATATGGGAAAGTTACAAATGGAAAGTTCACGATGAATCGAGTTGCTTATGTTGAAGGGTAAAATCATAACTTGATAAGTGTTTCTCAACATGTAGATGGAACATGAAATTAAGTTCTATTTGATGAGGAACGAAGTAAAATCTCAAAAAAAGAAACGAAAGAAGTTTTATTGAAGTCAAAAAAAAGGTTGACATGTTTAATCTCGACATAAAACTAATAGTGGGGATACCTTTTGTGTGCTTACTATCGAAAGCATCTTCGGATCTCAGTTGGTTATAGCATCGACATCTTTCTCATCTTAACTACACAAATTTAAATAAACTTGTTCTTAATGATCTTGTTCGTGGTCTACATATTTTAAAATTTGATAATTATTCATTATGTGTAGCTTGTGAATATGGAAAACAACATCATCAGGGTCATCCTATAATGATTGATTCAGAGATCACTAAAGCGTTGGAACTTCTTATAATTGACTTGTGTGGTACTTCGACTGTTGAATCATTCAACAAAAAGAAGTACATACTAGTTATTGTTGATGAATTTTCAATCTTTAATTGGGTTTTCTCTCTTCGACAAAAGGCTGAGACTGCTCAAGTGATGATTGAATTTATCAAGAACACTGAATTCAGCTTGAAAAGAAAAGTTTGACAGATAAAAAGTGACAATGGAATGAAATTCAAAAATAGAATCTTAGATTCATTTTTTACTAAACTTGAAATTTAACACAATTTTTTGTCTCCATATACACCACAAAAAAATGGTGCAGTCGAAAGAAGAAATTGTTAGGATCAAAATCCTTAAAGATCATTTAGATTCAAAACAAGTAAAACAAGAACACAATAATGATTTGAGTAATGTTGAATGATTAAGTGTCACACCTCAGAAGAAATCGAGAAAGAATTGCTACTGTAGAGGCATGATTTAGGGTTACAGAATGATATCAGAGTTAACCAAAATATGATGCATGCATGGACCTTAAATACTCTAACCCTAGAATTAAATACGAGAGGACAGGCCCAACCCTTTTGCATAATAGACTTAAACAAAAAGGGTCAATGACGCAACATATAATACCCAAAAGTTTCCCTTTTGCGTCAATTAAGGCAAGGGTCCATTATCCTTGAATTCGCTTTTGTACTTCATAAATCTTTGGAATGAAGCTCAACAGCAACTTGCGAACTCGAATGTACCACAGGACCATGTCAGAGAAGCACTTAAGATCCTCCTTACTATTGCCCTTGAATTTGGTCACCATGTCCAAAATAAACTCAAGGAAAGATCTAGGGTAAAGATCTTTGTTAGGAAGAAAGAAACAAGACTTGCTAAAGTCAGCATCAATTCGTTCCCTAGAGTGATACACCATGAACCATCCTTCTATTTAAATCTTTCCTGGTTTTAGCTTGTCAAAATTCTTTGGAGCTCTTTTGGAACTGCAGAAGGTTTCTTTCGTAGTACCACGGCTATCTCAACATCCATCTCACCAATCTCTTGAATGTAAGATTTAAAGAATTAATTGGAGATGGGACATGACAGGTTCGTAAATCAGTTTTTATTTCAACAACATGTTATAGAGTATGATCCAATCATATGGGTATATACAGGGCAAGTCTACGAGTGTGAATTCGTAACCCTCACTGGTTGGTCCTGTCGCCACTTTGAACTTCGCATTGGGGAAGTTGATAGTTTCTATTAGCCCTGTCAATTTCATGCCAGTGATTTTGCTAGCACACCATGTTTCATATTGTGGCTTCATGTGCTTCAGATAAAAAGAGAGCAACATATGATCAGCTGCATTGTCGGTGATTGGAGCTTTCACAACTTTCACAAAAGCACAAAACCTGAAGGCCTTTGGAGTAATTGGTACATCCAGCTGCGAATCTTGTGTGTTTTGAAGATCAAACGACACAACTGGCTCTAACCAATACTGGCTAGGTAAATCAACAACATCATGCTAGATTCGCTTCAAGGTCCACTAGGGAAACAAGAGCTTTTTGCTTTGAAGAGTGTCCTGAGCTTCCTTCTCAACTCTTACTTTTTTTTCCAGCTTCTCGAATGATTCACTTGTTATCATCCAACTAAGCTTCGCAAGCCTTTCGACTTTTAAGTTAGTCGTCATCCAACTCTTCTTCATCTTCTCTGTTGTCAATGACAGGCTCTTCACTGAATAGTTTTTCCTTGCCCTTAAGTTCTTGCTTGATAATAGGTTTAGTTAGAGCATTAGGGTCTTCTTTTCTTAACAGACCAAACCCACCATTTGGATTTTTAGGGTCTTCTTTTCTTGACACACCAGACCCACATTCTCCCCCTTGTTTAGGAACAAAGCTTTGATTCGAAACACATTCCAGCCTGTGAAGAATTGCGAAAATAGGTCTCAACTTCACATTTAGATGCTTTCGGACGGAGATGGTAATCATGGAATCCCTGGTCTCAATGACATCCGAGATTACACTTGTAATATCAGAGATACAACTTTTTGTTACAGCCCTTCAGTGACCAAATCTTGGACCTGTTTCTCAGGCTGTTCAAGCTTAACAGTGAGAACCTTCACTCTTTCATTTTCGATGGAAAGAGAGTCCATGATTTGACTCTCCATTGCTAGTTCCACTTGAAGTTTAGTAATTTGAGAGGAGATGGAGGTCTAAAACGCTTCATGATCAGTTTTTAGCCCAATGTGAATATCCTGAAATTTTGCTTTCTCAGTTTTAAAGAGAGAACCTATACTCAGGAGAGATTCATTGGTCTTCGTTGTATTAGAGTTAAAGATAGTTTGGAAATTCTCTATGAAGGTGGTAGTCTCAGAAATTAGTTTATTGACTTTTTCGGTCGTAATCTTGCAAACTTCAGCAGAATTAGCAACAACTTTATTCGTTTTCTCAGCATTAGCTACATGTTCTTTTGTGATTTGTTCAAAGGGATACTCAACAGCTGCTTTAGAATAAGCCTCAGAAGATGAATCCTTGGAAGCCAGAAGCAATTGGTCGATCATTTCTTGGAGTGACTACCGTTGTGCTTTCGTAGCAGAAGGCTCATCCTCATTTTCAATCCTTATTTGGAAGGGACTGTAGGTGAATCCACCTAGAGCTTCATCTTTATCATCACCAAAAATCATGTCAGGATCATCTTGGCGAATAGGTAAATGGCAGGAGGGACATGGGTTGAGAAACCTGATGTTTTAGCCCCCATATCAGATACGTTGACCGGAATAGGAGGTTCGCTAGAAGTGGTTTGGTGGGACAGTAGAATCAGTAAACAGTGGGGTAGAAAGAGGAATATTGGTTTGTGGTTGTGAAGAGAGTGGTGGAGGGCATGGTGCAATGGTAATTGGTGTTGAAGTAGTTTTAGGTGAAGGAGGAGGAGAAGGAACAAAATCATTAAAAGTTTGAGTTACCTCAGGATTGGGATTCTCTTCTTTGATGCAAGTGTTATCACCCAACTCGTTGCGAACAGGTTGTTCCCACTCGTTGCGAATGTCTGATTGAGCATCAGACTCCGAACTTTCGCTGGTACTAGGAGTAGGGGACTTTCGCTTGTGAGCCGGCTGCTTTCGCCTTTTTGGGAGCAGCAGCTGAGGTGCCTATTGGTGACTTTCATTTGGTAGGAGGTTTCGCAGTTGCAGATGGTCCTTCATTGTCAATAGTTTTCTTTGCTCCCTTCTTCACACCCTTCCCCCTTTCTTGGGTTTATCTACCTCAGTAATTATGACTTGCATTTCTGGGTTTAAAGGACAAAACCTAGAAGGAGTCAATTTCCTATAACCCTACAAGATTTTGCTAGAAGATGGAACATCACGAAACATAGTTTCTGGGATTGAGCCAGTGAAAGAGAATTTTGATGTATCAGAAATGATAATCCTAGTGGTGTGAAAAGTGGAGGTGGAAGCCGTCACAGCATCTTGCATCAGTGGAATCTGGTGTTTATTGATGGACATGCGAACAATTATTGTCCAGAAACATGCATAGGAGATTTCACTATGACGTGTGGTAGAGAGGGTGATTTGAATGACTTGAGCCCAAATAATTGCTCCATAATCAACATTCAGACATGTGTAAAGATTGTACATGAGCACCATGAACATCTTGCTAGCACAATCAGATCCGGTCACCCTTTTTAGGAAAGACTCTTGAAAAGCAAAGCGAAGAGGCCATTCCATTAAGGAGGTAAATTGGGTTTCCTGAACTTTGAGATGATAGTTAGGGTTTCTTTGTAACCCATCTGATAGAACATCTCCAGAAGAGCAACGCTGGAAATTGTTTCAGGGTTGATCATGTCGTCAGTCTGTGGAATCCCAAGAAGTGTGCAGAATCGGGTTTTGGTGATGCAAGTAGTATTTTTGTGAATCTCGAACGTGATCTTTTACTCTTCTTTGACATAGTTGGTATAAGAGTAAGCTTTGGAGAGGAGCGATATTGGGACATTTTCCATCTGGGTAAGATCAATAGTCAATGGAGAATACTTGAGGCATTCAATGATTGGAAGCATGAAAGCATTGTATTTGCATGGGAACAAATCAATCAATAAGTTTTGATGTTGTTTAATAGCCAGTAGATAAGAGTGGACATTCTGATCTTGAACAAAAAGGTTTTCGGATGAAACTGTCATTGATGGTGCTTGAGAGAGAAGAGGATGAATAGTAGAGAGGATTTAATCGCCGATAATCTTTTAAGAGGATTTTTAAGTGCTAATGAGAGTGGAATCGTCAAAATCCATATATACCATTCGAGTTGTGAGAGAAATCCGAAGAGAGAATACATCGGTTACTAAAACATCTCCTGAAAAAGCGCGACTTGACAAGTGTAGATGTCAAACCCAAATGTCATGCAGGGGTAAAGTAGCTGTTTGTTCAAATCCACACACCCATTTAAATCGACTGGAATTTGTTGTGTCAGTGTTTCTCTTTTGCATTTAATCATTATTTAACCCATTCACCACGAACATTCATTTTAGCATGCATGGGTTGTACTGTGAACCTGAAAATAACATCGAGAACCGCAAATGACACTTTTTGAAAATCATAAAGAATTTCGTGCAAGTGTGTAAAAGATAATGAAATAAAATAATAATTTTATGTAGGATTTTGTGATGTCTAACAAAAGACACAAAACTATGGTTCCCAGGCATAAATCTCTTCCTTCAAAGTCAAGAGAGACTAAGAAGTGTCTGTGTGGTTTCTCGTTGAAATACGATCAGTGTTTGATAAGAAACATTGAAAGACATCTTTTAGTAGGCTTATAAGGTGGCTTCATATTTATTCAAACTCTGAAACTTGATGTAAGTCCGATAGTTGAACAAAGTACTCGTGTGACTAGTGTAGTTAGTTGAACGACTAGGATTGGAATTATTTTGGTGACAAGATGAAATTCTCAAATCTCAAAAAAAAATGGATCTTATGGGAAGAAGTATCTTGGGATACGAACACTTCATAAAGATCTCGCAAAAGAAAAAGAGATTTTTGGTACAAACCACGAAGGTGGCTTTTCGTTAATTCCATGGTGAAAATATTGAACGTTTAATTGTTCACCATCAATTCAATTAAGTGTTTTGGATTTTGGGTTTCACTCAGTTCATGGTGGTCGGAGCTAAGATCTTCAACAAGTTGTTGTGTAACCATAAACCTCTGTGGTATTGCTGAGAGTCTCAAGGGTTACATTCATGAGTGTGAAGGCAATAGAGAAGTGTGAAGGTAGTTCCAAAGAAGTGAACGTACCTCTGCCATATGAAAGTGACCAAGTAGATAAATCTTAACTCAAGGAGAAAAGAGTGAGGTAGCTCATGACTAATGTGAATTTAACAGCCAGATAGGGAAGAAACGATTCGTAGTATCGGTTAATTAAGGCTTCACATTAAGTCTATTAAGGCTTTGGACAACATGCAACACCATGCTTCTAGGGACACTTAGCTAATACATAGATAAAGAAATTTATACTTATCCCATCACATGAACTGAGATATGATACGAATCTGTGCCTCCATGATCTTCTTAAGATATTTTTGGTGTTTTTGAGATTTGTGAAAAGAAAAAAAAAATAAACACAAATAAAATATTTTTTGTATTTTGAGATTTTTTGAAAAAGAATTAAAAACAGAAAAGATTGAAATACAAAATAAAGATAAGAAATAATATACATAAAGTACAAAGGATATAGGAAAATCTGAACCACAAATGAACAGTGGACTACGAACTACTACGAACGTTCGCACCGATTCACATCAATAAAGTAGACTGTGAATGAACAGTTGACTGCGAATAGTTGTGAACACTCGCACCGATTCGCAGTGATAACTTTATGAGTGCGAAAGTTATTTAGGAACGTATTCAGCTTCCATCATTCCTAGGCATTGAAGAATTCTATTGAAGGTGGTTTCAGGCAAGACTTTTTTGAATATGTCAACTAACTTATAGGAGGAGCTTACGAAGTGTATTTCAACGTTGCCATCTTCCACATGATCCTTGATGAAGTGATACCTCAGTGTTATGTGTTTCGTTTTCGAGTGTTGCATTGGGTTGTGACAAATGTGAATGACACTTTCAGAGTGAAACTATAGTGGGATTCATTTCATGCTTAAGCCATAATCACGAAGCTGGGTTTGAATCCAAATAACCTGAGATGTACATAAGGCAGCAGCTATGTATTCAACCTCAGTTGTTGATAGAGATACACATGTTTGCTTCTTGGATTGCCAACCAAAAAAATTTCCATCGATAAATTGACATCCTGCAGTTGTGCTCTTTCTATCTAATTCACTTCCCCCAAGGTCAGCATCCGAAAATGCTTGTACGAAGAAGCTTGAGTTTGTTGGATACCAAATGCCAAGTGATGAGGTTCGTTTCAAGTATCTGAAGATGTTCTTGATGACCACTATGTGAGGTTCATGAGGATTTTCTTGGAACCTAGCACAATAACAAATAGATAACATAATGTCTGGTCTACTAGTTGTTAGATACATCAATAATCCTATCATCTGACGATAAAGGGTTATATCAGCCGCTGATTTTTCCAGAGATGTTGTAAGTTTTGTTTCGAATGCCATTGGAACCTTCGCTTTAGAGTCTCTCACTATTCCAAACATAGCAAGTAAGGTCTTTGTATAAGCCTCCTGATTTATAAAAATGCCTTCATGTCCCTATCTTATTTTCAATCCAAGGAAAATGTTAATTGGACCCATGGAGCTCATCTCAAATTTAGTTTCCATCAACTTTTGGAACTCAGTTGTTAGGGTGGGATTAGTAGAACCAAAAATCATGTCATCAACATAAATTTGGACAATCATCAAGTGGTCACCCTCTTTCTTGCAAAAGAACGATGGGTCAACCGAACCTTGTTTAAATTTGGACATTTTAAGGAAACGAGTGACAGTTTCATACCAGGCTCTTGGAGCTAGCTTCAAACCATAAAATGCCTTATCTAAGATGTAGAGGTGATTGGGATACTTCTCATTTACGAACCCATGTGGTTGTTCCACGTATATAGTTTCTTCTAATTCTCTGATTACTAACCCAGGCTCTTGTGTGTTGCGTATGCCAGGAAAATGCAAACATATTCTAATCTTGCAATGGGTGCGAAGGTTTCCTTTTTAGTCGATAACTTCTTCCTGGCAATACCCATTAACCACGAGTCTTTCCTTGTTCATGACAACGTTCCTTTCTTTATCCGTCTTGTTACGAAATACTCATTTCAAACCAACAATTGATGCATCTAGTGGAGTAGGAATTAACCTCCAAACCTTGTTTCTTTTGATGGTTTTGGGTTCAATCTTGGAAATGAACGAATTAAACATATAAATTCCACTTTGGAGAATAGTACAGTTTGTTTCAGTTTTAGTGGTGATCTCGTAAGGACCCCCGCAAAAGATTCACCAATTACTTGAGTTCTTGGGTAATCTCTGGTCCATTTGGTAAGTAGATGATAGTTTGGATCATAAGATGGATCCATTTCAGCATTAACTTCTTCGAATTCTGATGGGATGTCCGAATCATCATTCACATCTTTATTCTCCCCCTCGAATCACGAGAGGTCCTCTTCTTCGGGAACTGTAGTATCTCCTATGAATGGAGGTTCATGAGTCATTATAGGAGGTGAGTCATCTTTGTCAGAGGGGGATCAGAAGAGAAAGAAGAAGTAGAATCCTCCCCCTGCGATGGAATTTTTGTTGCTTGTGGGGTAAAGTGCTCCCTCTATGGACTTGCATTAGAGTCAGAATTCTGCCCCTGGAATGTAGTACTCATGATTTGCTGGGATGTTCGCACTCGGTGGTTGCTGTTGTAAATCCTTCATGAAATCATCTATTATTTTCTTCAATTCATCCTCTTTGTTGTTAGATGCTTTTGATTTGGATGAAATGGCCTTCTCTGGATCATCAAAAAGTAACATGAATTCCTCTTACAAATTAGCTAAAGGAATCGTAGCTGGACTTGGCTTAGGAAAGATTTCCTTTGATTGATCCTCATTCGACTGAATCCTCTTTAAGTAATTGTTTCAAAATGTGACATAGTAGGTTTCTTCCATCTATTTAGATCATTTGTTAAGAACCCTATATGCATTAGAGGTCAATGAATAGCCCAAAAATATGCCCTCATCAGCTTTCACATCAAA